ATCTACAAATACAAAGTCAGTTTTACAAGTACAAATTCGATTCGACTAAAATCTGAGCCCATACGAATCCAGCCAATGATTCACTTCTTTGAATCAGGTACCAAAGCAGTGACGTAAGTTCACCACTTTCGAAGCTTCGGACGTCACTGATCACGTGACTTTTACCAAACGAATCAAGCTCCGACACAGTGCTTCTGAAACAGTGTGTTGTTTTTTTTTAATACATGCGCCGAAGCTTCAGCTTCAAACTGCCCATCACTAGTATATATTACTATTAAAATTGTTACATATAATAAGCTTATTCATCTAAAACAAATGACAAAAGTGGTTTGCTATTTGCTTATGTTTCTCTCTAAGCCCATAAAGCACTGGATTCTTTTCCCTTTATTAAATGTTTAGCTGTTATTTTTTTTCTGTACATCTTTTCTGTGTTGTGAGATACAAATACTCTTAAGATTTTTTTTAGATCAGCCTTCAGAAATCTTTTATGGCATCGTCTGTTGGAGCAGCAGCTTATCTGCAGCTGAGAGGAAGCGGCTGGATAAACTCATCAAGAAGCCATTAGAACTGTTGTAGATTTACAAGGTCTTAGTGGTTTAAAGAAGTGTTGTATTTTTACTAAAATATATACAGTAACGTTGAGATTGCAGTAGCTCAGTGGTCAGGTAGTCTAAACCTGAGGCTGAGAGTTTGAGAACAGGTTGTGTCTGGAAGATCATCCGGCATAAAACAATTTTCAAATCATTTGTTGGAGTTTGCTGACTGTGTTGATCCATGCAGAAGGGACTGGCTAAAAGAAAAAAAAAACATTATTTACAGTATTTCCTTTGCACCAGCTGGTTACACAGACCTTAATTTTACAAAAATAATTAATTCATAATGTAAAAAGCAGTTTTTTTTGTTTCACTAAAAAAATATTTTATTAGTTTTTTGCCTTATTGTTGTGACACCTCAAAGAAATTATACTAAGATATAAATGTGTATTAGTAAGTCCTTTTTGAAAAAAATCACAGCAGTGACTTAATTCATCTTAAAGTTAAAATAAACGTTTACACTATAATTTAAATACATTTCCCTAAATCAGACATTTTAGGAAATAAGGTGGGTTTTAGGTTTGGTCCTTTTCATTCAAAAATTAAAACGCACAGTAAGAAAAACAATAAAAAATATTTAGCACAGAATGATCTTGAGTTTTCCTAAAACTAACTTTTTGGTTTTAGCTGTGTGTGCCTTTTGGAAACTAGAGGACAAGTCTGGAAGTGAAAATGTGAATTAGCAGTGCGAACGTAGCCTGCTGCATGTTAGGTTAGGAAATGAGATCAAATTAGAACCAAACTTCTCAGCAGAAGCGTTCAGTCAGCTGTTGCTTTTGTTGAAGTATCTTACAAGGTTTGTATTTTTCTATAAGGAGCAAATGTCTTTAAGCTTTACAGCTCTTTGATTGAGAATTTTTGACAGTTTACCCCTCAATCTCCACAGTAGGCCTAAGCCAGAAACACAATGTCAGAGAAAAGCTGCTCTTCAACTTTTTTGTTTTTATCGTGCCGTTTGTTGCTCAGCTGTAAAATAAGTGTTGGATAGAAACACATACACCATAATTGCTCAGTTTAAGAATGTCAAGTTTATTCTTGGAAATATGACAAACATCCGAGAGTCCAGAAAACGTTAAGTGTCCGTGTCGACGCAGGTGCCATTCTTTGCTGACACGAAATTCCCGGTTGCGTTCAAGCTGCCAGCAATCCGGGAGAAAACGTGTCATTGAGGAAAAAACACCATAATCAGACAGCAAAAACAAACTGAACTGTTTTCTCTTTATTGATTTTATTCTTTTTATGGAGCTCGTAACTCAAATCAGTGCTGAGCATCAAGTTTAAATAATCACAGGTTTTTACTGAGGCTCAGTCAAATCTGTGTATTTTAATTGTAGATGCAGTTACCTGTTTCAAATGATTTAGAGCTCCCCTCTTTTGTTCTCCACTTACAATAAATTAAAAAATAAATCTCATTGAAGTGAGAGGAGCGCTCGTCGTCGACTCGTCGGTTCAGGATGATTTGCGCGCCATGGGATGGAAACGGACCCCATAACCAGCTGGGGCTCAGAATCACAGCTGCATTATGGGTTCCGTTACAATCCCACCCACAAAGAATAAAAGTTTGGGGCAAAACCCAGGTCGGCACTGCTGTAAAAGGAATCAAAAAGACATGTTACAAACATGAAAATTTAACCTTTTTATTGAATTTTTAAAAATGGAGACATATGACCAATTAAATACAACATTTTTATCTTTGGGAAGTATTTTGAAGTTATTGTGATTGTTCCCAAACTCTTAATTCTGATTTTTCCATGTGGTATCTTTAGTTTAAAAGTATAAAACCTAAAAACTTAGCCAGAGCTGAACGAGCAGCTTGGATTGTTTTGTTGATGTAGAAACTGATTTGATAAAAGGAACTGATTCTTGTTTCTGCAGTTATAAAAGAAAAAAATGATGCTTAAATAATGTGGCAATAATAGTACGGTAACTTCTGCATGTTTTAAATCTACTCTTTGTCAACATTATCCTTCATTATTTGTTCCTACAGAAGCAGAACTTTATTGTTTTTTAGGAAATTGTTTCACTTTTTCTTGCATTTTCTAAAAGGAAACCATTAAACGACTCATTCAGCTGAATTTAACCCTGTAGTTCTTGTCAGAGGAGCAGCTGTGTGTTTTGGAACAAACTCTTTTTACAATTTACTTGGAAATAAAAAAGGGACCAGATTAGATAAATCTGAACCAAATGCCAAAGTTATGACTCCTCTTCATGTTCTGCATTAGGAGCAGCAGCAAAGTGCCATTCAGTCGCAATCTGTCACAGCCTCAAAGCTTCCCTCGAAACCTGGAGTCGAGGAATGAAAAACAAACGTTATCTGTATAAAAACCTGCACGTTTTACAGCTCGCAGCTTAGATTCTGAGATGTCACTTTTTAAAAGTTTTTTTTTTTCATATTTAATTTGTCACGTATTAGGAAAATGACCATCACTTCTAATTTGAACTTTATAAAAATGACTATTTTGGTGCTCAGCTCAACTAACCTGTTTTTGTTATCTTTTGATATGTCAGAAAGAAAAAGAAAGCAAAAAAAAAGAGGAGGAGGTCAGTCTAACAAGGAAGAGCTGATAGTGTCAACAAAAAGAGGTAGATAAAACTCGTACAGAGTTTGGCTTTTTTTTTTTTTTTTTGGATTTTAGGCTTAAACAATAATTTCAGCTGTAAAAATTAACTAAATATTTCTCAGCTTCTAATATGGGTGAAAAACAGCAAAGGAAAAAAAAGACTTTTATACAGACAAAACAACAGCACCACTGCATACTTTCAGTTTGTCATCTATATGTCAACCTTGATAAGAAAGCCTGAGATTTTTCTAGTTTTACAGGAAGATCATTTGGTAGAAGAAATGGTGCCAGTTTAAAACCCTTAAAGTAAAATCCAACCCAATCAAAGCGAGAACTGAGTTTAAAAACCCAGAAGCAGAGCATAAAGAGGGGGAACAATGACTGACGGAGACAAAGCCGGCTGAATGAAAGGAAAGTGAAAACACACTAACAGCTGCCAGAATGACTAAAACTATTGATGAATGAAGAGAGGTTAAAAAAAAAGGAAATACTTTGCAGCTCACCTGCAGCTTCAGAGCAACTTGTTGTCCTCAGCAGTCCTGTCTGCCTGTAGTTCTGACAGCCCCAACTTCCTCTTTAAATACTCCAGAGATTCATTTCACTTTCACTTCTCCTGGGCAGACAAAACTCCTCCTTTTGTTTCCTTTGACCACTGCCTCCTCCCTTCTGCAGGGACAATGGTCACTATCTGGCCTCTTTTCTTCCCTTTCTGTCAATCAGTTGATTTATTATTTAATGCACCTTTTTATTTTGACCCAGCATTCATTTGAAGTGTTAATAAAATAAAAATAATGTCGTTTAAAGATGTATTTTTGTAGTTTTATATCTTATGAGAACATGTTTTCTGTTTTTATTTAGTTCAATCATGAAAGAAATTTAGTTTTCCTTTGAAAATCTCAGCAGCTTCATGTCTGAATAAAAATACTTGTTGCTTTAGAAATCAGAGGTATATAAAGTATTTAATAAATAACTAAATAAAAATACCTTACCAGAAAATGACTTTGGTAAAAATGTATTTCACTGATATGAAAAGTACATAAAACTGTTCATAAAAATCGGGAGTCAACGAAAAAGTAAAACTATTTTTACACGCACTCTAAGAAATTTTGAGTTTACTTGACCTAAACTGAGCTGAGTAACTTGCTTTACACTTAACTCAGTTTAGCGGAACCAGTTAAGATAACTAGTTTAAGTAAATTCAACATTTTGTTTTTTAAAGTGCATAAACAACTCTTATCATGATGAGTTTGGTCCTATTTTAATTTGTAGCGTGTAATAATGAGGTGTTTAAACTTCAAAGTAAAGAAGTAAAAGTATCATGTTTTGAATGTAACATAATATAAGTAAAGGTTATCATTAAAATATATATTTTGTAAAATTGTAATAAAGTAAATGTACTACCTCTCTATTGAAAACTGTAATTACCATTTTTGTCAACGTTTTCCTGCCAACCAGTCAAGTTGATCAATTTTATTGTTATTATTTACTTGTTTTTTTTTATTTTCATCATTTTCTGCTTAATGTATTTGTGAGTAAAACTACTCAGCTTTTCATGAAGTTCTGTTTGGATTCTGAATTTCACCAGCAGATCATAACAAAAATATAAATATTATTGCATTTTTAATTGATTTTATTCATAGTTTTAATGCTACTGTTACTCAACTATAATAACCTTTAAAAATAAAACAAAAATATAAATTTCATATGCTTTTTTGTTCTGCTTTTTGGATAAGTACTCTTGCTTTAATCTGTTTTTATTGGTCAATGACAGTTTTTTTTCTTGCAGCACAATAAAACACATGTTGAACAGTACTTTTACAAAGTTAAAGATAATTAAAGGAATAAAATACAAGAGACTAAAAAACAAAGAATTAAAAAGAAACAAAATAAAAACATCAGATTTAAGGTGCATACTTCTAGTCAAAAGTCACGAAAAAAGTTTTTTTTGCAGAGATTTATTCATCTGCATCTCTGTGATTAAACATTTTTTTTCTTCTCATTCTGGATTTTAGTTGTTTCATGATCACACTTTTAAAATACATTTTTAGTTTATTTTATAACACAATCAGATTTATTTTTTAATATTTCATAAACATCCTGACTTATTTGTAGTTGAAGGTACGGTCTTATTTAGGCCCTGTGTCAGGACAGACCCGCATTAAAAGTACATTTTATTAGTTTGTTTTTGTTTAAATTGCTTTTACATTTTATTCAGTACAAAAAGCTTTATTATCATTAAAAAAATTAACACTAAAAAATGATTTTCTTTGCCACTAATAATAAATAAACCAGAGATAATGACTGTAAGCATATTTTAGTTTAAGTTTATAAACTTTATTAATTTCATAAAACAAAATTCTATGTACAATAAAAAAGAAAATACAAATAAAATGAAAGGTGGCAGAGAGAAGAAAAAAATCTTTTGTTTTAGTAAATGCACCACCTGGTTTTGGTAAACGGTCTTTCATCAAGAAGTGTTTGATTTCACACAGGAGGGTCTTTCCATTGTGATAATTAGACCCTCACAATGTTCTCCTCCCTCTCCCTAATTAGACCTGTCCGTGGGCCACATGATGGATGATGGGAGACAGGTGTGACCAACAGCGCGACCCGACAACTCCCATCAGGTGCGTTTGGGTTTTAAACCTGGAAAGTCCGGTGGATTCTGAGGAGCATCCGATCCTCCCTGGAGACCTCGAACAGGAAGAGGGAAGGTGAGGTGGGTGGGGAGAAGATGGGCATCAGGCCAAAACTTTAATCAGATTTTTATCACTGGACACTTTAAACTTGATTTTGTATTTATATTTTTCTTAAACTTTAGTTTTATAGATGCAAATTCAAACCATGGCTGTGTCTAGATAATTTTGAATTTATTTAAAGTTTAGATATTTTGACACATAAATGCAGAACTCCAAGTGGACTGCAGCGCTGCTTCTTGCCCACCAGTAAAAAACAAGAGACTGTGTTAGTGCCTGTCAACATACTCAAACACTGATCGGATTTTAATGTCCTCACAGTAATCTTTAGATAGAACTGATTGTGTCGATCCATTTCAATATGATCACAACTAATCTCTATAAGCAAGAACCATCTCCAGCTGTTTCTGATACTAAACTAAACTTTGGTGGTCGTAGCTGAGCGTTATTTATACTGAGCTTAACATGATACTGCATGAAATCGCAGTTTTGAAATTTTGAAAATTAATTTCTTCAAGGTTTGCTAGGCCTTGAATTACTTTCTATTTCAAGTCCAACTTTTTGTCATGAAATAAGCTTAGTGTGATCTAGTCATTTATAGTTCCTGGGTTAAATTGCTAATTGGTCTTTTTTTTTTTTTAGCTTTCTGCCTGATGGTCTGAAGCTGAAACTTTTTTTTGTGAATCTTTGAGTGTTTGATATTTGATCAGAGCCCAAATTAACCAGTGAATAGAAGGCTTATATCTGTTTACAAAGTCAAGTTTAACAGCCATCTGCACTGCATGAACTGAAACTTGTTTTTTTCTTTTCTAGACAATTTCTCAGACAAGCTGCAGCATGTCTAGGATATGCGTCTCCGTACAGGTAATGAGAACCCAGAAACAAGAACTTGCTGATGAACTGCCTCTTTATTGTTTAAGAATAGGACAGATTTTATTATTTTTTAAGATTCTAAACAAAGTTAGACAACTGACCAAAAACAAACGTGGAAAAACATAGGTTTTATTGGACAGCAAAATATTTGCAACACTTAACATAAAAGCACAATTTTAAAAAGTTGACTCAACCGTGCATGCACTGATTTAAATGCTTAACCCCCCATCTTACTTATAGGCACACCTTTATATAATGCATAGATGAAGCTGGCAGGAAGACTGATGGATTCTGGGAAAGTGAAGTGTGCATCTTGAAGTCTTGATTTGAATTTAGAAGGAGAATGTGCATCTGGTCTGTTGTGTTTACAGCAGGTAAAATAGGTATTGAACACGTCACCATTTTTCTCAGTAAATATTACTAGAGGTGCTAATGACATGAAATTTTCACCAGATGTTGGTAACAACCCAAGTGATCCATACATACAAAGAAATGCATTCCATCAAGAATGCTATGTATTTCATTTTCATAGAGATGCATAAAGTACTTAACTAAGCACTAATTAGTAAAAATACCTTACCAGAAAATGACTTTGGTAAAAATGTATTTCACTGATATGAAAAGTACATAAAACTGTTCATAAAAATCGGGAGTCAACGAAAAAGTAAAACTATTTTTACACGCACTCTAAGAAATTTTGAGTTTACTTGACCTAAAC